CGAAGTGTAGGAGTCGTGGATGCGCACTGTGATGAGTCCCATACCAGGACGAAACGGCAGTCCAATGCTTCCAGGTTTTTAGTGGTGGTCTTACAATGATTAATTGATGATTTCAAATGTGTAAAGACACTAATCTCCATAACTCTAATTGAAAATGATTTTATTGTTTCTGCGGAACAATTTGACATGTAGTTGAAAACTTTCAAATCAACGTAATCAATTTGAGACAGTTTATGATTGTTTCAATAGCCCTTTACTTGGTATAACAAGCAGTTCTTTAAAGCCAAACTTTTGGGCTTAGCAAATCGTTGCTCATCTGACTTAGGTTTCCCATACAAAGGACTAAATAGAACTTCATTATCATATTGTTTACTACTAAAATAATACATCGTCTTATTGATGGTGAGGGATTGAAACCTTTCATATTTTTACCGTGGAGTATATTTCTCATAAAAGTTTCTTATTACAGAATAAAAAAAGGTCATACCTATTAACATATTTCTGAATTAAGTTATTATTACCATAAGTACATCATTTGCGCTTGGGAGATTCTTCTATTTGACGCGAATTTAAGTAACTGTGAAGTTCAAGAACATGTCAGTACTTTATTGATACATAAATAAATTATGCACTGTAAATGATATTTTAAATTCTCAACATACATTTTTACTGAATACATTAGACTCTCGTGTCTTCAAGAATATGTTTTTTCACATTTTAATAATATATCACCTACCATCACACAACATATGCATTTTACAGATGTAAAAAATGAAAAAACTTTTTATCACCAGTAAATTCATTCTTAAAAAAAAAATATGAGGTGATATATTTTGTTTTGATTTTTACTTTAAAAATAACTCATACGAAACAGCACAAAATAAACAGTAAGCTGTGATAAAAACACAAGTGATTTGTCACCTTAAAGATGAAAAAATTTTGCAATAATTAATATTTAAACTACACGGCAGGATTTTAGATGGTTTTTCGGTGAACTGTAGGGTTATTTCAACTAAACGGAAAGTGAAACTCGCATTCGGTAGACTGAATGAAGACTCACTCTTGTAGTTTGTCTGTATAATCAGTTGTAAAGATCATCTTCAACTTTATGTAAGCAAATATGTGATAGAATCATCATTTTCTGTTATTATTAGGTAACCACCACACTGTCAACCACTTCATCAGGGACTGGGAAATTCATCTAATATTTGACTGCTAGTAAGACGAGTAGTGACAATCATTTGGTGATTTGTGACGACAGCTGTAATTTGAGTATGTCAGATATCCAGGGGTCTGAGAACGCTCCTCCTCCTCCTATTCATATGATAAAAATGTAACTGCCTACCGAAGTACACCTACAAAGTTATTGAGGGAAAACGTGCGAAATAAAACCCAACATATATGTTAATAAATACCATGCAGCAGCGAGAAACGTTCAACACAATGGTCTGGCTAATGAGTTTTTTATTATATCAGTGGATATATTTGCTTCATTTGCATTCTCATTATGTATGAGTATAATCATAATAGATTTTTATTGTTTTTGTCACAAAAAATTGGAAATACGGTCAAATAGCTGTAAAACTGGGGAAACTGTGTACAGAAGGAATAATCTTATAAAATATACTCACCAGTAGTACATATGTTGTTGGAACCTGATGGTTTTTACCGAGTGCTCCGTTTTAGGCCAGTTGTCGGACTCTAGCCAGGTTTTTTGTAATTTTTAAAAATCATGAATTATGTCGCAGTCATAGGAGTCCATTCGCACGTGGGTGTTGTTAGAAAATCGACTAGTAGGAGGATGCCTTCGAAATAATCGGCTGTAAGCTAGCTTTTGGTGATTTTGTTTGCAGTACCGTCCTTATCAGTGGTACAAAACTTAGATTTATGATGAGGAACCATAAAGTCCTTCATAAACAACTTGGGGAGGTCATCGTATTGCGCGAGGATGCCCGAAAATATTTATTCTAAGTCGTGAATCGTTAGGTTGGATACTTTTGAATCGACATTTTTAGTGCGTAAACCTCATGTAAGAGTTTGGACATATCTTTGTAGTGGGATGAGTCGCTATAAACTAAGATCATCACTGCAGACCAGTTACGTTCCCTTCACTAAATATAATATCTCCGTTAATCAATGGACAGAGAAGAAAAGTTAATCCATGCAATGAAATATATTTGTTGGCGATTTCGTGGTATCAAATGAATATCGAAATGGTGCCAGAGAAAAGATGGCAAGTTACAGTGAGTGGTTTAACCAAAATGGCAGCAACTTAAACGGAAAGCTTGCGCGTATACAGTACAAATCAACAACATGTTCTGTTAAACAATCATTGGTACAGTTATCCTACTAAATGTTTCATTTAAACCAAACGCGTTGACTTCATAAAAGTGAAGTCATTACACCTTCACTATATAATGTGAATGATCTGAAAGTTTCCTATGAGTACGAAGTGTTGTAACATAAGCCAGTTGATTTTCTATGCAAATTCAGTGAAAAAACTGAAAAATGGTCAATTTGATAAGCTTTCATTTGGAATTGGGGGTTTTACTCATTTGTCAGATTCTTTCAACCTGTTATTACCCTCGTATTGAATGGAAGCTCAAGTTTGCTGTCTTTCGTCCGGTGAAGGTGAATTCTACTGTCTAATAATAAATGTCTTGGGAAGGCACTACTTGTGGCCACCGCGATAGAAGGTTCACTCAGGTTAGACGATAACGATTCCCGCACGAGCCTAGTCAGGGTGCTACCAAATCGAGATAGATGTGGTTGAAGCGAGTGTAAACAGCTGAAAAAATGTCTAATGAAGGTTTATTGTGTTTAATCATTTCAAAGTTTTGGTAACTTACGCAATAGTGTGTTCACTCGTTTCCAATATCCTATATCTTTTTCTCGAGCTAGTATAAACGGATTGATTTCTTTGCGCTCGTTTCTTGTTCTTTCGGTACGGTTCTAGGTGTTTGGTAGCATCTAACGAGTGGGGGTCTAGCCATCCGATTGTCTAATTCTAGCCGGTTGGCAGTTGGTTGTGAGTTTGTATAACCCTTGATTTGAGTGAAAACGTTTGTTTAATGGCAGTAGGGTCTCTGGAAACCAGCTGCTTTTACCGTTCTAGTTAGTGACTTAGTGTGGATCCAGCAACATGTCCACAAGTCCTGTGTTTGCGAGTGAACGAATAGGTGTATGCTACCAAAGCAACTAGTAAGAAGGCAGTTCATCGAAACAGCCAGACCTACCGCACGGTGGGTATGACTTGGAATGATTCCATTTGTTCGAAATTGTATTCAGATTGTCAACCAGTAAATGGAGATAACTTTAATATCTTCGGGAGTGATTAGATATTCCAATCTGGAGTTCAAAGATGAACGGTTTCCTGTAAATGGAGGGAGCTCAACAAGAATTCGTCAGTGTCAAAGCGCGCGCGTCCAACACTTTTTCAAGGCTAGTAAAACCATTATCTGTGACCCTGGTGGTTGCTCAGACTCACGCGAGAAAATCCAATACACCGTGTTGAATTCATTGCCTCGATAATGCTTCAGGAAGTTTGATTGATCTCCATCAGTAGACGTGTTACAAAACAAAGCTAATTTACCTGTTGCCATTGAGTTGATTTTGAGTTTCATAGTTGTCTCTGGTAACCAAGACCGGATTAAAGAAGCGACTGACAACCATCGAGGAGAGAAGCGGAATTGGAATGACACGCTTGGCGCGCGATTTATAGTCTTTAGTGCAGCTAAACAAAAGGAGTACAATAGAACTATTATTGTTGCAATTAGGTAGAATAATAATTGTTTCCATTTCAGCAATTATGTTACCTTCATAAAAGTATACCACTAAAATATAGTCAATTTTACTTTCTTTACCATACATACTATAGATAGTTTTCCATTGCTTTTAATGAATTCAATCAAGCGAAAATGACCTAATATAAGGATAATTCAAGTATTCTAACCCCAGTAGTTTCATCCAAAAATCTTCAACTTCACCAATCACGAATACTTTGTTCAGTCTCTCACCCTGTTGCTTTTTGTTCCACTTTCTCAGCACTATCGTGATAAACCAAAAAAATAAACTGCTCTTGTCTTTCAACCAGAATGTGTCGTGCTTTACAATGTTATTTGAAAATAAATGTTACAATCATGCGTAGAACTTGAGTTTGAAATAAATTATTACAATAACGGAGGCTAATTACTGTGTTCTGATTTTAACAGAAGAAATAGGAAGTGTTGTTTAAACCAATAAGAACTTTTACCAGTAATGCTGCTGCCCAGAATCACTTCTTTATATATCGGAGGTAAACTGAGAAATGCAATAGTAATTGGGAGGACTTGTTTTTGATATCTTGGACTGAAAACTCTGAACATGTAAATCATCAGATTTATATAAAGGTTGCCGTACAGCTAAATACATGGTTTAGAGTTCGTTGCTAACCGTGCAATGGGACGTTTCACTCTCAGCCATTTTCAGAATAATTTAGAAAGTTTCCAACCGTCATTTGCCTATTGATTGCAGACTGTCCTAGTTACTGTGCCGAATTCATTTATGAAGTTAATCATTAGTTTTAGGTTGTCACAATCTTACCGCATTACTGACTTTTTACAATGTCGATCACAGTCAGAATTAATTTTTTCCTATTGTCATCTTATTTCGTCAATCTCTCACTGCCAAGCAACTGGTCTGTTAGGCGTCTGACTAGAGCCTTATGACTCGGCAAGCATATCAGTCTTTTGAATGTCGAAGTCGTACCTCGTGGTCATCTTGCAATGTCGAGTTCGCTTTCGTCGCATGTGGATGTTGTGATAGCAAACATTACCTTACTACAAAATTGTTGGTTTTAGGTATTGACATGTCGCTACAAACTTGTGCAAGCCAGTTATCAAAAATAAATTGAAAAAAGGTTAAAAAATAAGTTCATCAAAGATATTCTAACCTGAATGCTTCAGCCGTCCCTAAACTGAAGGTTGTTTGTTTTAATACGTCAAAACTTTTTTTCAGGTCATCGTTATTTACGTACAATGTATAAAAGTTTTCCCATTTGTCACTTTTAATGGTCAAAATTAAATGAAGGATATCAGGTCTAGTTGTGTACCGTGAACAAGGATAACCAAAATTATTGTTGTATGGGTTCTTCAACATCAAAACATCACTTCGATGCGTACGTTTTTTACTTATGACCGAATCATTTACTTAATAACCTTATATAGAAAGTTTATTTCAGAAACATTAATCAACGATATAGGTTGCGACAAGTAAATTCTTAACTGATTGTCTCACCCCACTTCAGTAAAGGTACGATTCTGTGTAAAGACGAGGGTTTACCATGTCTGAATGGTGGAGTTTGCGCCCTTTATATATCAAACATAGATGACAAATGTATCAAACGTTGCAGGTAGGTGATAATAAAACAATAGTGCTTTTTATTTCATGTTTGACTGTTTTCAGTTTCTATCATTAACATTTCAAAGTTTTGTTTCCAAAATGCTGTTCAGTCTATTCAGATTCTCCTCAACTATGTTTTCACTAATAAAATAATTTAAGTTGTATAAAAAATAAATTAAGAAATTTTTAATAGCGGTAGATTTAAATCTCTTTTCCACAATGTTCATTATCAGTTCACTTGTTTTGAGGTGATCCATGCCTAAAATGATTTCTGTATTATCGTTTCCACCAAAAAATAATAAAAATGATGTATAATCAAGCCAAAGTTGGCATCTAGTTGAAATGAGCTGCAAAAGGCTTTATTTGTAGTTCGTATGTTTGAGATTTATTACAAATAAATATATTAGGAAAAAATAACCAATTTTTTTCTTCTAGTATATAACTAACTCATTATTTCTTTCGATCCAGGTCATAGAATTAAATCTAAGTAATACTGAAGAACTGGACTGACCTGTTTAAGTTAAATCTCTAAACCAAACAAGTTAAGGATTTGGATTCTTTCAATGAAGTAAGACCCCAAATAAATTATGGAACAAAGATATGTAATAAAGTGAACGGACATGCCAAAAATCTGTAAAACCTAAACGAAACCGAAGTACGTTTATGGAGCATGAAGCTTAGCAATATTGTTTGTCATCTAAAGTATCAATTATATGCGTGTGAGATAAGGCCTGATCGTTTATTACGATCGCTAATCATATTCAGAGCAAGTTCTTGTCTGATTTAGAGGTAGATCTAGAACCATATCCTGCTTCTGATCTAAAAGTATATAAATTTATAAGTAGTAGTTGTTTATTTCGTGTAAACTTCTCTGCTCTTATAGTTTCTATCGTTTTGATTTTTTATTGTTATTTACCGCTTGATTGAAGTTTAAAGTTAGGTTAATGTCCATCGAAAAGTTTTTAACATTAAATATACATAAAAGCTTTACTTTCACTGTACTATAAACTGTCATTGATAATTCCCTTCAAAATAAGGTGGTATGCAGCTCTAATTTCTGAGATTATCACTATTTAGTACCACGAATAGACAGCAGTTGACAAATGGAATCTTAATTCTTGCAGACTAAACACTCTGTTAGCACGTTTTGTTTTAGTTTTCACGTAACGTTTAGGGTCTATGTGCAAGCTGAATATTGAGATATTTGGCTGAGACTTAGATTCTGGATTAAAAATATAGAACTTATTTAAATATGCATTTTTAATTCTACTGCTACATAAATTACTCACTGTCTTATGTGTTTTGGGTAGCTAACGTTGCAGAGCGTTTTTATTAGGTAGGTTAGTATATATTCAGTGTTCATGAAGTGCAGGTTTTAGTGTCTATAACGATCAAAAACATAAAAATGTTTGTAGGCAGCGTTAACATTACAGAATTAGAATAACAACAGTTTGTGATTCAACAGGATTTATTCGGTAATTAGAAACATCACAAGCGTATGGTGTTTAGTAATATTCTGATCCCCGTACGATGTAGCTCAAAAGTCTTGGTAGTGAAACTATGTTTCAAGCAAAAACATGGGTTAAATTTCCATTTTTTGCTTTAACACTTGGGTTTTAGGAAGTTGAATATCTTAATAAAACGGAAACAATATCTTCAAATTCGACTGATCTCAGTAAAACGTCAACTATTACATTTCCCAAAATCTTATAAGCTATGTTAGCTTACCAACCAATTTTAATAATAATCATGATCAAACTACTCAGAAACATTATTTTTAAGCAAATAGTGACCTACATAAACCGTATCAGTCAGTTCTGAGTCGGTCTATGTAGTTCTTATCAAATCCAACAGAGTAAGGCCGAAACCGTTTTGGACAGACTGCATCTTTTAGCAAAACACTTTGTGCTTTTAGCTCTGGAGTACCGAGACAATCTATGTGACCGCTCCAGATTACCAGTAGTTCATTGATGCACATACATCTATTTATTTGGATTGAAATTCACTTCGATGTTGGTTTACTTAGCTTTTATTGACACTATACGGTTAACCTAATCTAAACAATTCATTTCTTGTACACAGGTTGTTGTGTGTCAGCAACTCATCTTACATCAGTTAGTCATCAGGAGATTATTAGTAGATAATAAATATACGGACGATATATGTAACTGAGATGATAGTCATAAGAAACTTTGATATGTGTCATAAAATAAAATTCCTTCATTCTTTCATAGTAAATACCTGCAAAAAATCATTCTATCACTTTGTCTTTAGGGTATTTCCTATGAATAACTTTACACTACGCTGATTTTTATCTCAAAAGTAATGGGAAAAAAAGACGAAACACTGCATCAATTAAATTAACACGAACTAAAATGTCCATATTAATTGAAATTCATCACCAGTAAGCGTTTATAAAATCAAGAGAACCAGTTCTTCAGTATTATATGAACTTGTTTTTCCCACCATTGGAATTTTTAATGTTAACATTGAGATTTTTAAAATCTGAACGGTTTATTAGGAGGATCAAAATACCTGAACCACTTTTTCAACAAAACTGAATTATGAATATAAGTTTTAGTCATTATCACTGAATTGACGAGATGAACAGATAGCTGTACTATTCAAAGCAAGGCATACCTTTAAATAAGGAGGACGCAAACTTACTCGTCTTATAGGTATTTAAACTTCAATAAGTTTTTCATTCGAAACGATATTGATATCAAGACTGAAACATGAGAATAAGCAAAATGTTTGACCTAGAACTTTGTACTTGTTTGAACTAAAACGGAAATACTGACCAATTCATGGAAATTTTTAAATAATTTTTGTATGATGAGTCGATAATTTTGTGAAGAAGTATAGTAAAAAATGCTGAAAATCGATAGTAATTATGTTGTCCATAAAACCTTATAAAATGAAATATATAAAATCGAAAATAACGTTCTTGCAATTAAAATTCTGATTTTATTAGACTTCAGTAAAATGTAAGTGGTATGCTTAGTAGTGATGATCACTGGTTTCGACTCTTGACTATCTATGCTATTATAGATTAAGTAGGTGCATCATTATTTCTGTGAAGTAACTCACAAAAATATGTGGAAAGACTGGTGAGTTGAAACAACTTTCGACAAGCAAAAATAATTAGAATCGAAATGTGGAAAGTTTCAAAAAATAATGGAGTTTATGTATTTCCGAAATATGTAGAACATAAATTTGAAAGGTAAAACTAGTTTAAAGAATGCCAGAAAGACACAACTGCTTACCCTTAGTCGAATTAGTGAGTGAGTGCGCTCATTAGAAGTCATACGTATACGTATATATTTTCACAGGTCATTGAGTACTACTGTTTTATTTTTAGTAAATTAGCTTATAGTTCATTGAATAGATAAGATATATTTCGATACAGCTTTCAGTATCATGTGAACTCATTGGCATGTTTACGGATCACGTGTATTAGAAAAAATAATTCGCATTCTCGTCGATGTGCATTAGTTATGAATACAAACAAGTACAACTAGAAACTTACCAGTCATATTATAATTTAGTCAAACTCAACAAATTGCATAACTAAGTAATGCTAAAACAACGTCAGTAAACTACCAATCGTTGGATTTACAGAAAATGACCTCCTTTTGGTACGCAAAGGGTTTTGAGTCATAGGATTACTTGAACTGATGATAATAGTTAAATATAGTTTTCTTTTGCTCCCGTGTTACGTCATCGATTCAGAACTTAGTTATAAACAAATATTTTTGTGTAGTTCTTAATTCATAAATAAGTAGTGACCTAAGTAGTGTTGTGTCATTTACTTTAATCTTAGTGCCTTCATTATCATTCTTGATAAAGCCAGGAAAGATTTTACATTAACTTATACATAAGCCAAAATAGCTTCCACAAAATAAACAGTTTTAGTTTCAGCGCTCCGCAATATATCACAGTAATTTCACAAGAATCTCTGTTTCAATAAGACCTTATCTTTACAACACCAAGCAGTAAAAAAAGCTTATAAGTATGAGAACAATTAACTATCAAATATGGTCAGAATGAGTGCTATATTTGTAGGAAATATGACACAATAGTTTTTACAAAAGTGAAATATACCTTTTAGACTTTAGACCAACTACTTGCTAATCATTCGGTAATGTAAATTATCCAGTCCTGATAAACATCAGTTCCCACCAAATTACATTCAAAAATGGCAGCAAGAGAAGACTTTTTAAAGATTGATGTTTTGCTCATTCATAATAACCACTGCCAAAAGACAAATCACCACTTCACAGGTTGGACGTTTTTAATCATCCAACTTTTTACCGTTGAGTTTCTATGTACAGTTCTATTTGAAAAATTATGAGATCGACTTTAATAAATCCTTTTTTTGATTAGTTATTGGATCCAAAAAATCGTTTATGAATGAATTATTCTATTATTTGTATTCTGAGGATGTGTAAAAAGTGTATCATCATTTGTGCATGAAATTTCTGAATTGTGATTGATATAAACTGTTCAGATTTGTTGAAGTGCTTTTTATGCCTTTGTTCGTTATTGTCGAATACCTCCTTTTTATCTGGAAAAATAAGACGTTTTTAAGTTATGAGTTATTATTACGAGAATGCCTGTATTGAAATGATGATTCTATCTAAGTTATATAACCATTAAAAAACCGAAACAAGCCGGCAACACTTTTGTCCTGGTATGGAACTCTGTATCATTGCGCATTCACTACACAATAACCAGGAATCCATTCACATCCCGGTTTCCTGGCTGAACGGGATTAAGTGTTCAAATGCGAGAGTGAAGGTTCTGGATTCGACTTCCGGTTGTTTGAGTGGATACATTATTTTTAAGTGTCTGATACCAGAACAAAGAGACTGTTCAGTGCCTCTGACTTTTTAACGGTTATCTAACATAGCTAAGATCATGATCGTAACAACAATCAAAAATCTCTGTAATCGCATACTGAAAATAGTCAATAGTCAAAAACGTTCGAAAACCTGCGGATTAATAATG